GTAGTTCTCCAGAGGCTGTATTTAATTCTTTATATAGCCATTCTGCTAAAATTATTGCTGACCTGGTATTTTGCTACTTCAGAGGGATACTTCATGCTTTGGGGGGCTTTGAAAGCATGTATTTCATTTTTGAAAGCATGCATTTATGAGGTCTTCTTGTTTCTGGGGATACAGGGTAGAAACAAAGGAAAACACACCCCATTAAAGAGACCGTATGTAGCCTTTATAGAACCAAGGTGCAGTCTGGGTCTAGGCTCAGTAATCTACTTATTTTACTATATAATCTTTAAAGGCTCATATCTTCCACTCTGTTAAGTAGAGGCCCCGTGACCAAAACAGTAACAATAACCAATATAAAAAGCTCATTCAAGCAACTCCTACCTCCATAATGGAAGCCTGACAAGTTCTTACGTCAATCTGGCCAACTGATTTCAGCTTTGATATGGACCTCTATTTATTGCCTCTGAATTTCTAGTTATGTCAGTAGGATATATGTAATAAATGCTGTAATAAACATATCAGAATTTTATAAATGTGTTTCCAGAGAGCACAGAGCTGACCACAGTTCGAGCTGTAACAGCAAGCTCAATTTGCTATTAAAATAAAGCAGCCAAATTGGTAGGCAAGCTCACCTCTTGTACAAGAAATTAAGAATGGTATTATCCATTAATTTCCACCCTGTGCAGCTGAATAATGCAGTTGACAGATGCTAATTTTCTTAAATTGTAAGCAGCAAATGATGCATGAATACAACCGCAACACACTTTTTAGAGGCTCTTGGTAGTCATCAGAAAGCAAATTTATATAAAGTCCGATGAAGTCACTACCAAGTATGGTGCGATGTTAGTGTCTTCTAATGACTGCCTTAAATCCATCTGTTGTTCTCTTTTCCCTATTAACACTAATGGGGGTCTAGGCAGGAATAAAAACCTCCCATGTGTTGTGCTAACAGACCATTCATTTGTAACATTCATGTGATTCCTAAGGATAAGACTCATGCAAGAATAATGACATCTAAAATCTAACCAGTGATAGGATAATAAATATTTCATTGTGTGTGTGTGTTTCCTAATTTAATTATTTTTCCAGTGGCTTCACGGAAGTCTATTTCTTGCTCCCCTTATCATATACAGTGTCATGGAAAGCTTTTTGTGTTTCTTATTTTTTAAGTTGTTGTTACTGAATGTCCACGGTATGATGTTTTTTCTTTTTAGATTTTAGGAACACCCCGTAAGTTTACCCCTGTTGCCCAGCTGAGGAAACAGACTTGGGGAAGTTCGTAATAAGTGGTGTAATCGCTGCTGGGTGGGGGGTCAGAGTTGGCACTCAGCAGTTAGGTGGTATCAATCGTAACATGACTGGCAACTTTTGATGTTTTATATCCTGTTGGGTTTGAAGACTGTATGAGGTAAATATATGGACTAAGTTGAAAAACTTAGTTCAAACTGAATTCCAGAACTGATCAAGTATTGAACATCAAAATGTCTCCTTTGGGTTGGGGTCTGGTGACAAAATAAAAGAATGGAAGCCTGACGGAGAGTCTGTCCTTGACCAAAGTCTAGCCAGGTTCCTCTGAGCCTCCTTCTCAACCAGGCCTCAGACTTGGTCAGTAAAGTCACAAACAAACACTAGCATAGGTTCTAACAGCTCAAGGCAACCTTCTTAGCATGACCCTTGTTCTCTTAAAGCGCCTGCTTGAGAAAACTCGGGGCTGTCAAAATTTTTTTCTGTTGGGGCGAACAGATCGGGTCTCTTTCTCCCAGCCTCTGTGGGAGGGTAGAGTCTGAATTTGGTAATTGTCAGCTGGCAGACAGAGCTGGCCTGGTCGCAGTTACACTGCAGGACCTTGTGTCGTTTTTCACTCCCCTGACTCGACTGAGCCCCCGCTGGCTCCCTGCCCTACTCTCTCTTTCTCTTATGAAAACACTCAGTGATTGTGTACAAATTGAAGGTGAGTTCAGTTCACACTGGAGTCCTTTCTTCCTTTTGCAGTCATTACTACTGATTAAAATCTGTCCTTACCACTTTAGTGTTGCACTTGGTTTTCCTTTGATAATGCACATGTCAGGCCTTGTTGCCAAGATGAGACTTAGACATGGTACAGTAGCACATAAAATGTACGGTGGTGGTCAGCAATGACTTTGGAGGAGAGGACACATAAGGGTCCTGTTAGCTGTGGTCTTTGCTTGCTTTCGAGTGCCCTGTGAGAGCTAATGAAACTGTATGGAGGGAAGGGAAGTGGTTCTGTCGCTTGTGTCCACCCCCCTCCTCCCTCAGTGCTTGTTCTGAGTCTGACTTCCCATCCGAGGTGGGGCTGGATTCTGTGAGCAAGGATCCTAGCATATGAATTTCCTACACCGAAGATTTATTCGAGAACTGTCCCTGTTTCCATTCTGTTCACATTTATTGAGCACTTACTAAGGGCCAGGTACTGTACCTGATACTAGGGATAAAGAAATAGATACCTATTTTTTCACATCAGGGAGGGTCATAGGGAGAGAGTCTAAGAATTACTTTCTCCTAAAAGGAAAAAAAGGACTGATATATAGAATTATCCAGTTAACTGAAATGTTTGCCTTCTAAATTTTTCCATTGCTACATTAAATTCTTCAACTGTTTTTGTATATACCCTTGGTTTTCTTTAAAATGAAAATTCTGGGGCAAAACAGTGGTGAGGCCAAAGTTGATTTTCTCCATGATGTAAACCTTTATATCACATAGCCTCTGTACCTTCTCTCAGGCTTCTTTCTGAAATATGAACATAAAATATTAGGAAATGAAATAGAGGGGGTCAAAAGAAAAAAAAATCTATGGATTCTGATTATGGAGATCGGTATATTTTTAACAAATGATGTCCTTCAAAGATATTTCTATATTAAATCATTTATTCATGTAATACTGATTTTAGTTTTCTTAAATGCAGTCTATAGTTTTCCTGTCCTTCTTTATTAATGTCCTGCTTTTGGATCTAAAGGGAGTGGATTGCCCAAAGGCCCTCTTAGTCCAGATTTTAGTTCATATTTTTAAAAAGGCAAGAAAAAAAAAATTCTCGACTTCCAATTCTGTCACCTTTCCTGCATAAAAATAGAGCTGAATGTTTTTGAGGTGGTGGCCAGAATCACAGAGGATAATTATATTTGAATTTTCAGTGATAGAGTTTATGCTTCAATTAATTGGCATTTTCTATACATATTTGTTTGGAAAAGGTTATCTATTATGTGGGGTTGGGGAGAGCAGGTAACAAAAATCAGTATGATTCCATTTTTGCAAGCAAACAGAGGTAAGAGAAAGAAAGCCTGGTAGAAAATCACTGAAATGTTGATAGTGGTTTTCCCTGGTGTGATTATAGGTGACTTTTTTCCTTTATATATATGTTTACACTTCCTGCTTATGAATAAAAAGGAACCAAACCCAAGAGAAAAAGACACTTACCATTTTTACTACTCTTAGGGCTAAGTATCTAAGGTTTACTCAGTGCTTTACTTAGAAAATTCTTTAATCTCCTCAACAATTTACACAGTCCCATTCTCCCCATTTTAGTGATGGAAAAACCAAGGCACGGAAAGGTTGGCTAACTTCCTTCCCCATTTGTCACCGAGGCAAGGGGAAGATCTCAAAAGCAAATCTTGTTTTCTGTAGAGTGTGTGCTTTCACTCTATAATATAGCAAAACAGCAATTTGGCAAAGTAAGAAATTGTGTGCTTTGCAATTAAAATATAAACTTCTGAGAGCACTGGGATGAAAGCATTAGACCTTGTCATGTGGACTGTGATGGGAGCATTAGTTCACTCCTGTTCTTTGGTAGTGCCAGTGGTTACCATGTACACTGCTAGTAAATCAGTTAATCTATGGCAACAGTTATTAAACAGTGGGATAAGCTTGTTGCCTGAAGTAAGAGAGTGAGGCTCTTTTACAAGGAACAGGTCTGTTGGAGGAAATCCAGATGTTGCTTCTGCTGCAGGGCACCCAGCCACATGTGCTGCAGTCCCTCATGTTTCTGATTGATATCTGGCTGGAACCCCCCCCCCCCAAAACCTTGGATGAGGTTCTGTGGGTTGCCTGCCATCTTTTCTCTTTGCCAATGTGTCTTTTGGGAAAAGAAGCTCCCACTTGTTCTTTAATCATTCATGGGATACTTAAAGAGCACCTACTATGGCTAGTCATTGTGCTAGTATTCATGCGAAACAGAAAAATCAGACGTTTTCTACTTGAGCTGAGCTCCATTACTGCATGAATATTCACGTCCATCCTAACTCCCTGAAGTCAAGGAACCTTATTTCCTATGTGTTGGTATCTAGTTTAGTCCTTGTGCTGAGGAAGTAACGTAATGTGAATTGGTTCACCTGTTTGACTGTTAAAGACATAGACCTATATTAGATTTCAGGGTTGATATAACTTGCTCAGTGAACCTAGTCTGACATCGATGTCACTGACATATGCGAATAGATACTATGTGTGTCCTGTGGGCCTGATTGGATGACCACCAGTTCTTCAGAGAGGGAAGCTTCAAGAATGAAGCACCAGCTCCATTTCACCTTGAGAGAATTCTAGTTCTTCCTTTGGTTGGTCATGAGCTCTACTCTGTCAACTCTTTTCTCATTGATCCTGAGATCATTTTTCGTATTAGATATTTAAAAAGTGCATTTGTAAGTGCAGACTTACTTCTGTGATGCTGAGGGTGCTTTGTGTGTATGCTCTGTATGCTCTGCAAGTTCCTGTGGGAGAGGCAGAGGTCACAAGATGCTGTATCCTGCCCTTGCTGAAAGCTGCCCATGCTGGAGCTGGAGAGGCTTCCTTGGGTTAATGTGGGAAATCAGGGTCAGAACTTGGGACTGGATCCCCTGACTTAATTAAAACAATATTCCTCTGGTTCCGATGAATAAATAAAAGGAGAATCATAGAAGCGGTATAGAAGGATGGCCAAGAAGGGACATGTGGTCGTCACAGAAATGGTGATATTCTGCCTGCCACTTATCCTGTCTTCTCTTTCACCCCAACAGGGAGGTACCTCCTTCCAAACCCTGTAGCCGGGCAGGCCTGGCCAGCCTCTGCGGAGACGTCCAACCTCGTGCGCATGCGCAGCCAGGCCCTGGGCCAGTCGGCACCGTTGCTCACCGCCAGCCTGGTGAGTGTCCTCTGCTGGGGTCCGCGGTGCATCGATGCGGTGTCCTCTCCCCACCACCATAGGGACTATTTTCAGTTTATTGAGTTTAACTAGGTTTGAACGTAACCACATTTAGCATTAAGCAATGTGACATTTTTGCACGGAGTGTGCTAGTTTTTTCCAAGTCTTCTCCACACCCCCAATCTAATCTGTAGTGTTTCTGACACCTCCACTGTTACCTCTCCTCCCTCCAAAGAAATGAAAATATCTCTGAGCTTTTTTTCGTAAATACTTCATTTGAAAATAATGTCAGCTTTACGAAAAAGTTGGAAGAATATGAAAAATACATAGAACATATTGATCCAGCTATTAATTTCTTGCCAAATTTGCTTTATCTCTCTCCTTGGATATACGCTGAGGTAGGTATATACATAGGTATTATACATATCTGTGTACACACACTCAGATAATTGCTTCAACTATTTGAGAGTAAGCTGTGTCTCTCATGTCCTTTTGTTATCACAGTTAGGAACACTGGTAAATTTATGGTGACTCGAGCCATTCTGTATTTCATTTTTATCAACTGGCTTAATCGTGTCTTGTGTAGCATTTCTCCTCCAGTGTCAGATTCAGTATAGGGTCATATATTGCATTTAATTGTCATATCTATTTTGTCTTCATTAATCTGGATTTTTTCTACAGCCTTCCTTTGCCTTTTATGATGTAGACATTTTTGAAGACTATCTTCTCCCTCCCAATTTTAAAGAATGAGATGTTTCTCATATTACACGTGCCTGACGTGTCTGATGTTTCCTCTTGGTGAGGTTCAAATTTTGCATTCCAGGCCAGAATAGGGCATGGGTGGTGATGTGTCCTTTCAGGGCTTACCTTCTGCAGGCCCATCATGTCCATCTGCCCCTCACTGTGTTGTTAATTCTACCCCCTGCCCCGCCACACACACACACATAGTCATGGTATTGATGTCTCCACTGGAATTAGACTTTTAATCTTGCCATCAGTAAGCATTCTGTGGGAAGGTAAATTTCAGGCCATGAGAACGTATTTTTTCTCATCAAAAATTTCCCCTAGATTGCCTATCCATTGATGATTTTGGTCTTGACCCTTCTTTTTTGTGGTAATTGAAACTGTTACTCCCACCTCAGGGCTCTCTGCACATTTACCTGTTGGCCCATGGCATCCATGTTTGCATATTTGTTTGCAGCTTGGCCTCTTGCATTCCTTGTTCATTTCTTCCAGTGTTGATCTTTATTTTCAACCACGATGCTTCCTAGAATTTTGTTTTCTTCTGGGTCTGTTCCTTCTCTCCTTCAACCTTTGGCACGGCCTAGAGGTCTCTACAAGTTAATTTTTGGTGGTAGGGTTGTATATTTTGGGAATAGATTTTTAAATATCTTTTACTGATGGAGATGCAAATAATATATTAGTGCATTATGGTGCCTTATAATTTTATGCATTAGTAATAAGTTAGATATTTGAGAATCATTCAATAATGCAGAGAGATTTGATTTACGTCAGATCTCTGACTTAAGATTTGATTTAAGTCAGATTTCTGACAAAAGTCTTACTTTTGCCACTAGGTAGCTGTATAAACTTGGGCAAATCATTTAGTTTCTCCTATTTTATCAACTTACCGCGCCTGCAAGATGAAAAGAAGTATTTAAGCAGTTCCTGGAAATCAATTTTGGAATCTTCTGATTTTACTTCTAGATTAATAAAGATTGTGAAGATAGTGAAAAATTATTCCTAAAAAAGTTTCAGAATATTTTGACTTTAAAATTGACTATGGTCTTTGAACTGAAGTTCATTGTTTTCCTCTCTTGAAAATTTTATGACTTGTATTTCAAGGTACAGTTAAAATGATGGTAGTTACCACTTGCCGTCATCCCATTACCAAATTCAGTGTTACTTTTTCTTCTTGGGGAATTTTATTGAAAGCTAATTTTACTGAAAGCATTTACTTTTTAAGAAAAGAGGGAGGGGCGCCTGGGTGGCTCAGTGGGTTAAAGCCTCTGCCTTCGGCTCGGGTCATGATCCCAGGGTCCTGGGATTGAGCCCCACATCGGGCTCTCTGCTCTGCAGGGACCTTGCTTCCTCCTCTCTCTCTCTGCCTGCCTCTCTGCCTACTTGTGATCTCTGTCAGATAAATAAATAAATAAAATCTTAAAAAAAAAAAAAGAAAAGAGGGAAATGCCTCACAATTATTATTATTATTATTATTATTATTATTACTTTTTAAAGAGAGGTGCTTTTTGGGTCACTGAAGAATTACTCTTCACACTCAGATAGCAGTCCTATGTGTTGCTTGGCAAATAAATTATTCTGAATAAAACAATACTGTTAAAAGGAATATATCTCATCTAATACTGGCAGTCCCATACTCAGAAACAGAAATTGATTCATTCATTGGTAAAACACATGTCAGGTGACCTAAGATAATTGGGAATAAGTTAAAAAGATAAAGAGAACTATTAATAGAAAACACAAAAGAGTACTCCTCAAAATATGTCCGATGAAATTCTTACTGAAGAGTCATTTAATTATTAGCTTATCAGTCCTGTGAGTTTTTATACTGTTTGCTTGAGAGCAGAACTAGAGAAAGTGCTAAAATCCCATAGGCAGCAAGCTTAAAATAGTACCTGGCACATAGCAAGCCTCAGTTGTTAGCAATATTACTACTTCTGTTAGTAACATATTTTGGGTAAGCTTGAGTATGAAAGCCAGACTGCAGTTAATCTTTGACTTGACGGTGAAGGTTTAACTCATTGTCTTTCCTTCAGAGACTTCATTACTTCCTGATGCTAGTCGAAGGAAAACTATTTGCAGACTGTTTGACCAAGTCTTCTCCTGCCCCGCCCCACATTTTGTCCTAATAAGAGCAGTAACAGGTGGAGGAAAGCTGATAGGCAGAGCGCCATCTTGATTTCCTTGTTGTTCTGCTAGCTGCCCAGCTTTCTGGGCCATACCGCTCATTTCAGGATATCGCCCAGTTCAGGCTAATGACTTTTTCTGCTTTTGGTACCCCTCGCAGACCATTAATCTGTTTCATATTTCTTAGATTGGATTACATCTAAATTACCTTACTGATTGCAATTAACTATCTCTATAGTGAGAAAATGTTGGTTGAGAGATGGAAATGCCCACTTATTAGAACTTCTCCTTTTTTCCTTTTCCCTTTAAACAAGTGATGTGTCACATGGTGCCCTGAACTGTGGAAAGTGCTTCACTCTGACCCTTTCTCCAGGCCACTATTCTCAACTCCACTGCCCTGTCTTAGAACTTTAAGTCACTTTTCCTGCTAGACGGCAAGCTCCTTGAGGGCAGAATTCCTGTCTCCTCTGATTTGTACTCCTCACTGTTCCTGGCACAACTCCTTGCACATAGGAAGCATTCAATAAATATTGTTGATGGAATGAATAATAATAATTATTATTAATAATAATTAATTACGATTAATAATTATTCCTACAAAGTGAAAGATGACTCTGCTTGCAAGGTGAGAGTGATGATGCGATTCTCTGTGCCGTAATGGGTGGCCTAATAAGACTATCCATCTAAAACCTCTTTGTTTTTGTTCTGTGTGTATCTTAAATTCGTAATTAGCCATGAAGTCTGTGTAATGGACCAAATCTTGTGTAGTTCCACATCGGCCGCTCAAAAAATACAATGACAAAATAGTGAAGAGAGGATCCCTGTCCACCTTCAAGGATATTCAATGAATATGCTTGTAAGCAGTCATGATGTGGTCACATTGTCTTAAATGTTCTGTTGGCTCACTGAAGAACTAAGTTGAAGTAGTATGTGTCTTCATGTATGGAAAAATTGGAAAAACAGAAATCAAAATGTCCACATGACAGCATTACACTCGATAAAACAGCATTTCCTGTTCAACACACCAACAAACATTTCAGAAAACTACACCTCTCCACCTGAGAGGTATCCATATGTTAGTAAGATATAGATGAAGGCCTCGTGGCTTGCTAGGTAGGAATTTTAGTAACTGCATGACCTATAGTGATTTAAATGCCATAGGCGAGCTTGAGGGTAATGCTAACTACTTTCTCAAGGAGGAGATTAATTCCTAGCCTGAAGTATCTAGTTTTCCTTGGCAGTGCTAAATGTCGTTGTGCTCCCTCTTCCAGACACGTTGGGCATTTCAGATAAATGGCATGTTGCCAATTCATCCTAAGTAGCCTGGTAGCTGGCAGAATCCATGCTCAGCCAGTATCCGCCTGCTGGGACACCAGCCGGGAGTGCTGATGAAGTGTCAGATGTATACTTCATATACATTAATCTGAAGAGGGGAAAACTCATTTCTCCATTTGCTCCTTCCATCTTTCTGTCCCTCCCCACACACATGGGTAGTTTATCAAAGAAGTCAGAGTTGTCAGAAGCAGGGGGATTTATACAGATGCTGCTTTCTGGCAAGAAAGATGGAAATTTCAAGAGACAAAAGCAGGACCCATGGTAACTTATTTTTCTGTAGGAAAATAAGGTGGTAAGCCTCGATGATTAAAGTTTAAAAACAGTGTATGTGGCCATCATGTAAAATCCTCCCTTCTTTTGTGCTTTGGAGTCATGGACAGATGGTAGAAACACAGTGAAAACCAGTTGACAGTGTTTTTCTCCAACTTTCTCTTTGATTTGAATCATGAGCTTCATCTGCATGGTGTGTGGACCTTACCCTATCCTGTTTTTTCTTGTTGAGGTCCTCCTTGACCATCTTGTTTGAAACTGCTCCCCACACTGCAGGCCACACTCCCCACTCTTCTCCAGAGCTTCATCCTCTTCTAGTATACAACCATTTAGTTTATTATTGTGTTACATATTTATTAGACATTGTCATGAAAAATTCATTACAGTAGAGGGATTTTTCCTATTTCCCCAGCTGTCTTCCCAAGGCCTAGAGTAGTGGTGACACAGAGTAACTGCCCATCGGAGACTTGATGAATGCATAAACAAATGTTATTTCCTATCTATACACTTTTAGGGCCCTAGAGTGG